ATTGGATTTATGCATAATTCGTGTTTAATGTTATTTTTATTTATAAGCATTGGAAATAATAAAATAAGTGTGAAATTAGCAACACACATTTGTTCAAAAATTCAATCAAAGATTTAATTTATAGTGTGGTTTGGTTGATTGAAAGCTAATAGGACCGTTCTTTTATGATGATACGCTTAATATGGTAGACGATATTTTAATTTTTTAATCAAAGAACTTCCAAGACTGTTGTATGATATTTTATTARACACTCGAGAACATAATATTATGTTTTTACAGAAAAATGKAACACCAGTCCACATTGCAATTATTGTTACAGAACATTTAAATCAAATATTTTTTAACCACTGGAATAGTACTTATTACGTTGTTCCTCGACCTGCAYTATCCCCAGATTTAACGCCATTGGATTTTTTTTTATGGGAATATTTTAAAACTAGAGTTTATGCAGATCCTCCTGTAAATCTTCAGGATTTAAAAAACAAAATACAGGCAGCATGTGATATTTTAAGTGAAGGCCRAATAAAGGCGACATCTTCGACTGAATTTTTGGAACGACTGGAATCATGTTTAATACATGAAGGTAAAAACTTCAAACAATTCATACGATCAATTGATTTAATACATTTTATTTTTTATTATAATATTAAAATAACTATAATCGTTATAACTATTTTGTTGTATATTTAATTAATTGGATGAAATATAATATACTAAAAATAATGTTTAATTATTTCACACTTATTTTATTATTTTCAGTGGTTATAAATGAAAATATCATTAAACACGTAAAATGCACAAATCCAATTTTCGAATTAATCCAAAGTAATTTTTTGATTTACTCTAACTTGGTCAGTTATGAAAATAGAAAAAAAAATGTTAATACAATAATTGTTTAAAAAATCTTYAGAAAAAAATGTCGGTTGCTTTTAAAAAAAGTAAGATGTATTGCGCATGCACGTAACGAAAGAGCTAAAAATTTGAAATTGATTTGAACATATTTATTTAAGATTTCCCTATCACCTCCGGAAAACCCCGTTTCAATACAAGGTTACCCAGCTAAGATATCCAATGATACCTAATATCGTGATCACACTGTATATATATAAATAGGCAGAAAGTTAGTAGATACATAGCAGTAGTACCATTTATACGTACAACGTAAATAACGTTTATTAACCAGGTATGCCTGACCGAAACGGGTCGGTTATGTTATTAATGARGTGTAAAATATTCCTGAAATTTGTTCAAATTATTTAAGTCATTTAAATAGCTAAGCCAGCGTTTCCAATAAATAAGGTCTTTAAAATGTCAGCAAAAGCAGGTTTAAATGAACTTTATTAAAGTAGAGCTAAATTATCAGTAAACATGATTGTACGACTTCAAAAACATTAGTATATAATATATTATATACTGGCCGTATCGAAACCGATCTCGAAAATTAGTGTTTGTCTATTTGCATTATATATAATAAACAAACATCCGGTTGATTGCTATTCATCTGTTAAATACAGTCTATTATTAATTATTGTTACAAATACCTTGAAGAACTAGAAAAAAAATTGTCATACATAACATCAAGATGTTCTTAAACAAAGGTGTAAGAAGTCAAATAATATCTTCTTTAATCGGTAAAACTATTGTCAACGTTATCACATATTCATTCAAAACTTATCTTAATGGCTTTTTCATGGTCAATATACCAATGGCGCAGCTTATATTTTAGGTCAATATTCTAATTCCACTGGTATTCTAATTTCCTTACTGGATACTTTCAGGTATTGTTATCCGATCTAATCCCGTAGAAAATTAAAAAAATTATTTATTGATCAATTGATTACTGGTTAAAGTGACTGGTTATAATATGTTATATATCAGTATTGGGAATTTTGTGTTCATCGATTTTTATTTTATTTTTAATTGCAACTTAATTTTGTATAATTAATGATCAATATTTGCTAAATGTGAAGACAAAAAAATATTTATTTACTTATGTCGTATTATTTATAATGTATATTGATTCTCCCAAAAAATCAGTTAGTGTATTGATTTATTATATAATTATAAATTTATAAGGCTTGTACATTATAACTAATACGTTTTCCTAAGGTATTGAAAAAGATTTTGATCGCAATTGGTACATGAAAAGGTCATTTTAAACGCGATTGGTAAACTGCCTTTTAAACAAACAATTGATTTTCAGCTACCCTTGGAGCAATGGTTATGGGTACGATACTGGGCTGGACATCACCAGCAAACGAATTATTACCGAGTGGAGTTGGATTTTTGATTACCGTTGACGATTTAAAGAGTTTTAGTTCCATTTTTGGCATTGGTGCAGTTTTCGGAGCATTACCTGCCGGGAAATTATCTGCAACGATCGGCCGCCGTTACAGCATGGTATTATTTGAGATCCAAATCATCATTGGATGGATTTTTCTTACCATGGCCAATGCATCATGGATGTTATTGGCAGGTAGAGTAATACAGGGCATCGGCGTTGGTGCACTGTGTACCATCATACCGACCTACGTTGCCGAAATTTCTCAACCACATATTAGAGGTGAATTCAAGACAAGTCATTTGTCTAAATATTCAAATAATTCATATACTTTGTTTAAAAAAATATTTTAATGTTAGATAATAATATTTATATTTATTTAACTTTACTACTTATGTTTGTATGCCTATAGGTACTTTGGGAACGATATTTCAAGTCTATGTAGTAGTTGGAATTCTTTATTCATTCGTAGTCGGCTCGGTAGTTGAATACGTTACATTTAATGTATTATGTGGGATTTGGACTTTAATACATGTGTTACTAACTTTTTTCATACCTGAATCGCCATATTACTTTTTATATTTGAACAAAGACGAAAGTGCTTATGCATCAATGACGAAACTTCGTGATGGAAATGATGCTGACATTGCGGGAGAGTTGAACGAGATTAAGGTTTGGAAGGATATATTTTTATTATCACGTCTGTTGGACATTAGAATAATGTTTCATTTAGATTTTTTTTTTTTTTAATTATTATTACAGAGGGAAATTGAACTTCAAAAATCAAATCAAGACACATTCATTAAAGTGATGGCTAACAAGGTGAATCGCAAGTCACTTTTGATCGGTATAGGTTGTATGTTTTTTCAGCAGACAAGTGGAATAAATGCTATCATCTTCTATATGGGTTACATTTTTAACAAAGTTGGAAGCTCGATAACCACAAACACTTCAGTTATAGCTGTTGGAATCGTCCAGGTGGTTTTTTTTATAAAAATATCTTGTTTAAATAACTATAAAATGGTGTTGTATCAGGTATGATATAAGTTTTCTTAATTAATTAATAATTAATTTGTTATAGCTGGTAATGACATTAGTAGCAATGACGATTGTTGACAAGGCAGGCCGTCGAATATTATTGATAGTTTCAGCAGTTGTGATGAGTCTTAGTTTCTTCGGCTTAGGTCTATACCTTCACATGAGCCATAAATTCAATAAGGAATCAATTTTTTCATGGCTACCACTAATTCTCATCGCTTTATATATTTCGGCTTTCTCTTTAGGGTTTGGACCTATTCCATGGGTAGTTATGGGAGAGATATTCTCCAACGAAGTACGTTAAGTTTTTGTATACTCTTAATAAAACCTTTACATCAATCACCTATTATAAAATATTTAACCAATTAAAATTTTTTCCAGATCAAACCATATGGTACAAGCTTAGCTACTGCCGTAAACTGGTTTTTGGTATTTGCTGTCACGTTTTTAACATTTGAAGCTACAAATTCTATTGGTTTTCTTGGCCTTTTCTGGATGTATAGTTTCTTTTGTGCATTGGGTGCCCTATTCGTGTGGTATATGGTCCCAGAGACGAAGAACAAAAGTTTGAATGAGATACAGTTGAAGTTATCCGGTAACGATAATTCGCCACCATCAACTAATAATGTTTAAAAATTAATAATTGAAAGTACATTAAGTGATAATAACAAATGTTCACAATTATCAAATGTAAAAAATATTGCAATAAACTAAATTACACCCAGATTACGTATTAACTTTGTGTTTGAATTTTGTATTTGAATTTAATACTTTTAGAGAAGTACAACTTTATTGTGTGTTTATACTTGCAACTTGCCCTTATTAATTCATGGTTAACCATATAAACCATTGAATTAGAGTAATCAGACGGCTTGTAAACTACATGACACAGAACACAGATCATGATAACATCTATACTGATTGGTAGTTCGTTGTGCCCGTTGTGGTCGAACTCCAGAATTTAATCACTCGTATTTACTTGTTATTACAATCTAACAAATTAGACTATATTAAATAGGAAAGGGCTGTACAACAAAATAACTAAAGTCAAAATATCTTGCCAGGAGATCCAAAATACAATTTTTGCGTATGTCTCTGATAATTGGAATACCTTCGTTAATATGTCTTAAAATTCATATTATAGTGACAAATTTTCCACTACTGAGGATTATGTTCGTTATATGAAAAATCTTACTGTCTACGGTGGTTAGCAGCTGGCAATATTTTCCCATATGTCCTTTAAATTTTTTATAATAATAATTTTTATGCCACATTTGGTGCAGATACATTCCCAGTAAAGATTTCTTCTATCCAGAAATATTAATAGTGCGCATTTTGATGTTTAGTTATCTATTTCTAATATTCCTAATTTTACAGAAAATGTAATTTTTACTTCAGAGAGCGATTAGTCTATTTTTAATAATGTTAGTGTCACAGACAATTTAATTAATAAAAGTAAGAAGCGTTTTCGTGCTAGATGTACAGCTAGACCTCGAAACAACCAAGTCAAGGAAGCTAAAAAAAGACGAGAAAGCCATTTTTCGGTCTAAAAATCCATTGCGCAAATGGAAAATTATTAAATTAACTGATCTTGCATATGATCCCACAATTGATTATAAAAATTACATTGGCACTATGAACCAAAATTGTAAATTTTGTTACGCTCTCAAATAAAAAGGCGAAACACCTTGCATGAGCTGCGATTTGGGTAGTACAAAACTCGATATCTTTCTACGGTCACCAGAACCGTCACGCAGTTTACTTATGGGTGACCATCCTGATCACGATCACTTTATTAATCGTACAAGGAAATATAATGGTTGTTTTCAAATGACATCGTTTGGAGCTAACAAAGTTGTTGAAGAAGATTTTATGCCATTTTTTAAAGTTCAAGGCCAAGTATGGCAGTTTGATTCAAAACACTTAGGAAAACCCAAAATTTTTACAAATATATTTTGTTGGCGAAAATTAAAAAGAAGTTTGACTTAGATGTTCTCTTTATCCAGAAGTTAAATTAGTCAAACAGCTACAAAATATGCTGCATACTGAAAATAAGTATATTTGAGAATTTAAAACCACACTAGAGAATGCAAGTAAATATTCTACAAATTTCAAGTTGGTGAATAAAGCAGATAGAAAACCTGCTAATGGACACAAAGGCTGTTACAATGCAGCAATGACTAATGAAGTAGCTTTAGTATAAGTTGGGTAGTACACATTTCAACGATGAGGGGTCTGTTCCTTGGCAAAAAAAAGGTGCGTTGACTTTACTAGGTTACAGATGATTCATTTGAACACTATTTATCATCAATTCATTAATACATAGTCATGTATAATATTATACTATATAACATTTAGATAAAATTATTAATAATTATTTACCTATTATTTAATTATTATTTAATTATTATTATTATTATTTATAATTAATTATTAAGCTAATTTTAATTACAATATATTGTTGTGTTTTTTCGTCCTCGTCATCCATTGTGTTCCTATTAGGTCTTACAAAGTCCTGGTTGTTCAAAAAATTTAGAAGGTCAAAATACAACAAACTAGGTTTATATATTTCATCAGCTCCAGCCCCAGATTTTGACGAATTATCAACTTTTGATAGTTCTTTCTCATAAACCGCACGCAATGCATTAACTTTTTTCACAACAGTGTTTCTGTTTGCCAAAGGATCAAACTCTTTTTACTTTTTAACCACCTTTTCATAAGCAATGCCTGTTTTATTTCTTTCCGAGTATTCTTTGCTCTTAAAAAGCCACAAGCAGGGAAAAATTTGATATAGCTCAATAAATTCTCTCAAAAAGTCTCGAAATGTTTTCTTATCACAAGGTCTGCCATGATCATTTGAGTAAAAATAAAAACAATTGTTAACGAAAAAACGAACTATCCTCTGTGAACGGCCAATGCAAACTAAATCAAATTGTAGCGATAAATGGTTGCTACATGTTTACAAGTTTCAACTTGTCGTTAAGATTTGCAGAAATTGATGCCGCTCGGCACCAATCATCTAATCCAATTTCAATTCCAATAAATCGTTACAATGTCCTATTTATACATAAAGAAAATCGAAACAATTCGATCGTTACGATAAATTGCTGGCATTTATTGTTCGTGTAAACTTGGCTTAAGACATATATCTAGATTCTAGAAGGTGCTTTAACTTTATAGATAGTTGTTATGTATACTTTATATAAACTACGTAAAAACTTCTAAAAAACTCAACAAAAAAATTTATTTACTTCAACTTCACTTTTATTAATATTATATACTTAATTATTTTTCTCATTGATAACGGTTAATACTCATATCATTACAACATTTACCAAAATGATTCAATTTATTAAATTTACGACAATACTTACCAAAAGCACAAGATTCATTAATTTTGTGGGTCATCCCACACCTCTTATAATTTTGAATTGTCTTTACTTGCTCTTACTTTGATTTGTCTCCATCAGTAAAGCGACTCCCAGTTTCATGATTGATATATGCTGTTTTAAAGCAACTGTTACTAAACACTCTTATAATATTTTCCAGATCTCCGATGGCTTTTTTATTTTCACCAGACATAATATATACTTCTTTTGAATTACTTTGAAGCAACTGTCTGTCCATCTCCGTCTGCTCCATCGCCTTGACGTGCTTTACAATTTTGTCTAGTTCTAAGATTTGTAGCTTGCATCAAACGAATATGTAGCTATTAGTGATTTAAGATCAATGTAAAAATAAATAATAACATTTTTCACTTTCCAATCGCTACCTTAAAAAGAAACAACAATGTTTCATGACCTCGTTCTTCTTGGGAATACATTTTTCCTCGAATGCTTTTAATAGATCTACAGCTGTTTTTGGTTTTAATTGAAAAGTATTATACAACCTGAGTGCTTCTGGAGTTTAGAACAACTAAGCAATCTTTCGATTTGCAAAGTTATAATCCATAATATATATGTATATATTTTATTTTTTAATATTTTATGATGGCATTTTTATATTTTTTCACATATAACGCGTTTATAAAATTACTGGATCTGTGTCAGTAGACATATCTTGTACTCGAAAATCACTATAGTAACTCCATTATTTGTGTGATACATCTCTAACGCTTGAATTTTTTACATGGTACTTAAGTCATTTTATTGTATTATTTCGTAAAGAATGTTATGCATTTTAGGTTCTGAGAATAAGTACATTGAGGAATGATGCGTTTTAAAATAAAAAAAATGTATTTCTTGAGTCTGTGGTGAATATTTTTTGCGTAAAAAGGTTTTATACAACCAAGCTATCGATTGGAAATTGAATTCGACAGTATTTTAGAATTATAAACTCATTCATTCTTTCTACGTTCCGAATTTGAAATTATAAGATTTTTAGACACATTTAACTTATACGTTTTTACTTTAGAATGGTCACGGTTAATTTAAAATTAAAATGCATTAATTAAACTGCATAGTCGTGAGACTACGGGTGTTCAGATGCTATATAATAATAAAAACATAATATTGAAATAATTTATGACTGTTTGTAATGTTTTATTATATTTAGTCACCTGCAGTAACATTGAAACTTATTTTACAACATTCTACGATTTAACAATATTATTATTTATATAATTTATATAATATAATAAATAGTGCTGAATATTATTATAATGATATTTTATGCCAAAAATCTTATTTTCCATTATGATACCAATTAATGAAAATACAACACAATAATATCATGTAATATGAATATGAAATATTTGATACAGAAATCCCGTGACGGAATTTTATGGTTCTGCAATTTTTTTGGATATCTTTGTTTTCACTGAAATGGGGTTTTTGTATAAACTTAAATTAACAGATATCGTAAAAACCTTAATAATATTATAATTCATACAATTTGCATTATGATGCAAGATTTTTTAATTAATAATAGTAAACGTCAATGTGAGAATGATGAGTGTTCAAGCATGTAAATACAATTTATTCTAAATATTATTGAATCAATTTATTACTTTACTACTATAGAACTATTATTGCTTAATTACTTAATTAATTTTGTGCAATAGATAATTTAAAAAAGAAAATTTTATTCTGAAATTTCATGTAATTTTATTAATTTTTAGTGAATATCAACACACTCTATAAGCTCGTTTTAGTGTAAATAAGGAATTAAAAAATATATATGTCTGAAAATAATGTGGGTTATTTTTATGGGTATTATATTTCGTTTCAAAATACATTTTTAAATTATTTTATAGAGCAGCATTTTCCAATATATATTATTTTTAAAAATACTAACATACTATCAATCAATAAATTATACATTAAACAAACACTTATAAAAACAATTAAAATGCAGATACTTAATACTACAGATATAATAGACAGTAGAACAGGTAACAACATAAAATTACCTTATAATATATCATTATCCAGTACAAAAAGTGCTCCCGATTATATGGTCAAAACTATATTCAACAATTTAGGAAATGATGTAAARAGTCAAATAAAGTATGAATGTGAAAATCAGTCTAATAAAACCAATGTAAAAAAATATAATTACTAAAATAGTAAATGACCTAGATGAGAATGTGTGTAAAAATAAATTATTAAAAAGTATCTATGTGTAAATATAAA